AACTGGTTCAGAAATATTTTGCCACAATTAGCAAAAAACTCTGTAATAGTTATGGACAACGCTTCGTACCACAGTAGACGTATTGATAAATCCCCTACATCGGCTACAAAAAAGGCAGGAATACAAGCATGGTTGAATAGACACGGCATAGCCTTTACGGAAGATATGGTTAAAGCCGAATTGCTAACATTAGTAAAGGCCAATAAACCAGCTGACCGATATGTTACAGACGAAATGGCTGCAAGAAAAGAACATTATGTTTTACGTTTGCCACCTTACCATGGTGAGTTTAACCCAATTGAGTTGATGTGGGCCCAAATCAAGGGAAAAGTGGCAAGAAACAACACCTCTTTTAAAATTGCTGATGTCAAACAGTGTTTTTATGAAGCAGTGCAAAATGTAACAGCACATAATTGGCAGAAGACAATTAAGCACGTTAAAAAAGAGGAATCAAAAATGTGGGAAACTGATAGAATAATGTAAATCACCGTCGAACCATTAATTATTAATCTTAATGATGATTCCGAAACTTCCACTTCCGACAGCGAATAAAATTCCTTAAAATCGCAATCAATTGAGACCAAACATTCTTGCTCTTTGACAAGTGAAGAAATGGAGATCGCACTTAAAAACGTTTCACCGGAAAAAGACCTAGGTTTCAACGGCATCCACCCCGAATGCATACTCAATTGCATTCAGAATCCCACGGGAATTTAAACGTTCAAAATTCATAGCAATACTAGAATCAAAAAAAACCAGTTGATCACCCAAAAAACTATCGACCAATTTCTTATAATATAAATCTTATAGTATAAACTACTTGAAAGATTAATGTTTAAAAGAATCAGCCCAATGATCTGCAGCTTTCAACACAGTCTGACCAGAAGGAATGATACATAGACTCTTACGTACTCTGCCTTGCAAATTCACCGCTAGACTAATAGAACATCACCGTCAAAGTATTTCAAGTAACTATGGGATTCGAAATAAGCACCCCCAGAAAACTCAAAAATAGTCTACCGCAAGGCTCGTTACTCGGAATATTGTTTTATAGCCTTTATATCGCAGACATACCGATAACATCAACAAAGTTTAGCTATGCTGATGACTGGGCTTTATTAACACCAACAAAATCACAAAAGAAGCTGAAGAGATTCTGACGGAAGACCTAGCGATTATAGGACATTACTTTCAAAAATGGAGACTTCGCCCCAATGACTCTAAAACTGAAGTAACTTACTTTCACCTAAACAACAATCTGGAGTCAAGAACATTACTTAACGTTCTTTTGATAACACATGACTCAACCACAATAAACATCCAAAATACCTAGACGTAGTTTTGGACAGAACGGAAAGCTTTAGAGAACATTTAAGTATAGTTGCTAAGAAGCTAAAAACCAAAAATAACATATATCAGAAGCTCTGCGGCACAAAATGGAAGTACCGGTATCTAGACTCAGGCTTAGCTATTGTTTATTCTCTAGCTGAATATTGCATACCAATATGGATCAACAGTACTGATGTTCAAAGGATTGATATCCAGCTCACCCAAACCTACACCAACCCATTTAGTACCAATGCTGAGCGACATTACACTATTACACCTTCGCCGACTCAATCTGCTGACCAAAGTATATAACAAGATCCTTAGCAACACGGCGCTGCCGATTCACAACTATATAAAAAATGCAAACCAAGGTCGACTGCCCTCCAGAAAATCTCCAATACAAACCGCAGAATTAGCTGCAGCTACCGAGTTCAACATGACCACCAAATGAATCTATGAATGGTCGGAACCTGAACCAAATACCTTTATACCTTTATATTTATAGTTATACCTTTCATCATGGGGACACCTCCTGAATTTGACCTATCACGTAAGACCTGGTGCACACTTTAAAGCATCAGTGGGGTAAGCTACCATTACGTACACATTTAAGTTTACATGTGTATAATGTCCACATTGCCTAAAGTTAGCCTACAGTATTTTGATTGCCATTTCTCCCCATTTGTTAAAGACACTTCCAGGTTTTATTGTTTACTTTTTAAGGAACTTCTATTATTTTTGTATTGCATTAAAAATTTTTAAGTTATAGTGTCAGATTGAGGTTATATTTTAAAGTTATATTTTAAAATTGTATTGTCCACTTCTACGCCAAATGCTAAAAATTGCTTAAAAATAACACTATATATATATATATATATATATATATATATATATTTCCCGTACAGTCAAGCTTGCGTTATTTACATTTTAGCGGTATCTCAAGCTTTTATAACGCTCCAAATCATCCTATTGAAATTTACGGTTTTTTTTTCATTACAATGTACATAACATGTTGTTATAAAATCGTTTATTTCAATTTTTGTCTGTATAATAACTTTTTATTTTATTTTTCTGGTACGTCACTGGTTCAATGGGAACGTATTCGTTTAATAGGTTTCTTCCCAACAAGTGGCCGAACCGTCCAAAACTATGAACGAATAGTCGACCAGCGCAGTAAGGAGGATAGCACTAATGACAGTATTATTGTTCTCTCACTGACCAACTGTTTGCCACGAATTCTGACTAGTTTGACAGTTTGTAGGAATGATTATAATATTTCATGAGTTTACATGGTATTCACGTGATAACTCCGTCTGTTGGGTAGACAGGGTATAAAAACGTTTTTATTTTCAGGTGTAGCGATGGTGTCAAAATATTAAAGAGTCACCAGCAGTCAAGGGACCCCGTAGCTATGCAAAGAGCAATCGATGCCGTGAAGAAAGACGGAATGCTTTATCAAACGGCTGCTAAAACTTACAATGTGCCTAGGAACACACTTAAACGTCACGTACTAAATAAAAATCAAGACGCCACTGACAATAAAAAAGTATTAAGTCATTTTCGAGCAGCTTTCAATAAAAAAAGAACATCAGTTGGTAAATTATCACTTGGAGATGAAGGTACATTTTTTTAGAATTACTGTAGCTGATTTGCGCAGCCTTGCTTACCAACTGGCTGAACGGAATAACATAGATACCCATGGTTTCAATAAAGAAACGAAATTAGCAGAAAAAGATTGGGTTACTGGTTTCAGAAAGTGCCATCCTGAGCTTGTATTAAGAAAACTTGTGACGACTTCAGCAGCAAGGGCGCAAGCGTTAAACAAAACGAATAAAACCACGTTTTTTGACATTTTGGAGTATATTTAAAAACACCACTTGTGTCCTTCTTATAGAGTTTATATTGTTGATGAAACTGGATCCTTTTATCATTTCCCCTAGCCAGCGGATGAAAGTGGAACTTCAGGACGGCGCTTCACCTGGAACAGCTTTTGTTTGTCATCCTTCAGGGTGGATGCAAACTGAAATTTTGACACAATGGTTTAACCATTTCTTGAAGTTTGCAATACCATCCGAAGACGACCCAGTTTTGCTCATACTTGATGGACATTCCACCTATACAAAAAATCTAGATTTCATTGAAGGGGCTAGAAAAAATCACACAACTGCAGTTTGCATTTCCCCCACTGTAGTCAACAGCCATTCAATGTTTCTTTGATGGGGCCCTTCAATACTTATTATGTCCAAGCGACCGAAATATTCTTGCGTAATAATTCTGGTATACTATTGACACAGTATCAAGTATCTAAACTTCTTGAGAGACATTGCCATTTGCAGCTACTCCAACTATCGAGGTCAAGAGGTTTGGAAAATGTGGCATAGTTCCTATAAACAGACAGAAGTTTACTGCAGCCATGACCACAGAAATTTCCCGTGCAAGATTATATCTCCCTTCAAGAAGCTAAAAATCAAGAGCTGAGTGTTAAATACCAAGATGAAACTTCTGGTATGGTGCCAGAAAAAAAATTGGTCGATTTGCAACATGATATTTCTCGACGCCAAGACACACCACTGGCAAGTACAGAGAACTTGCCTTCTGAAGAGATAGATTTCCGACCAGCAACCTTTGCATCCAATGCTTCCAATGCTTCAGTTCTTATGTTTTTCAATGAGTACAGACAAAATGTCACTGTAGGATTTGGAGATCCAAACTCTACATTCGTTCTAATATCTAAAGACTCGCCAAAGCCAAGTACTTCAACATTTCAGCCCAGTCCACTGCCTTATTTCAGTACTTCATGTGATTGAATCAGCAACTCCAAGGGCAAGAGCACTATACTTTTGCTGTAAGCTGACAAGATATTTTTCCAATTCCTAAAGCAAATATTATCAAACGAGAAAATAAGCAAAAAAAGGAAGAGCTGTAGTTTTGACCTCAAGCTCTTTTAATATGGAACTAGTAGCCGCAAAAGCAGAAAAAGAAGAAAAGGATAGGCTTAAGAAAATAAAGCTGGAACTGAAAAAAGGAAAGCAGAGTAACAAGATTAATGAAGGAAACAAAGAAAAATTTAAAGGAAAGCAGAAAACGAAATCAAAATCAGAGAAGCGTGCTTTATTTAATGACTGGAACAGTGATGTGAGTGATACTGATTGCCTTTTCTACGGGGACTTATATTCCAAGTCAAAGGAAAATAAATGATGGATAAAGTGTTCGGGCTGTTAACAATTGGCAGTTCAAGTTTGTGCTGGGTGTTAAGAAAAAGACAATGACTTTATTTGTCACGTTTGTAATAAACTCGGTGTGAAACTTTCTTGTTCTACGATGGCAATAATGTTTTTATTTTGAAAATACACTTTCATTTAGTATACAAATTCAGTTTAAATTCTGTATTTTACATCGGTCAAAGTGGCCCTCCCCGCAGGGCAAAGTGGCCATTTGGTAGAGTTAGGGTAAAAATTATTTATCTAAAAAATTTACCGAGATAAAGTGAAAATTAAAATTGCCTTATGTAGCTAAGTATATAGGATATCGTATGTTATTATATAGTGTATTTCTTATTTATTTTCTTCAATATAAAAAAATATTCCTTAACGTGGCCACTTTGCCCACACTTTCCCTATACCGATAAAAGATAAATGTATACCTTTTAGATTTTTAATATAAGAACTTACCAATAACACAAATACAGCTTAACGACACTATAATACTTGTATAATCCATTTTATGCTATATTAAGGTAGTAAGAACAAAACTAACGAAAAGATTGGATCAAGCAATTTTTAATATTCCATTGTAATAAATATAATAAAATATGCGATGGCGTTTATCATGATTGTTTTTACGATGACTTTTTTTATTGTGATTGTTATTCCCACGCATCTTTGTTTTTTATAACCATAGTGTAATATAGCTAAATTACTTATCCTAGTCAATTACAAGTTGTTTTTATTTGTTATATTAAAAAGTATAAATTCCAGTGGGTGATTGAATTGTTAGAGTCACCTAGTAAAATTTAATTTTTGGTTAAAGTGTTTATAATTAAGATGCACAATTATCTACAGTTTAAAGATATACGGAGCCGGTAAAGTTTTTTAGAACAGGGAACTAAAGATTTTTCTAAGACACTCTTTAATTCAAATATCTAACAACGATTTTTGATAAACTTGATGATCAGAAAATTTAATAAACAAAATATGCAAAAGATTAAACGTTATTTTTTACTTATAAACAATGAAGATCTCAATGTAAGGTCTTTTACCTCGAATGGATGTTCATACTTTTTGGCTACTCTGTTTTCTTCATTTATTAAATTTTCATAATCCCTCAATATTAAACGCAGTTCCTTCTCTTTTTTTTTCTCCACATATCAATTTTCGTTCTTTTTCCTCAGATTCTTTACACATGTTTAAGTATTGTATATTCTGCCTCCTACACCTCGCATACTTCTTCAAACACCACCGTTTCAATTATATATTTTCCCTTTTCTTTTATCAAACTTCTTTCTTCTTTTTCTTCTTCTTCTGGGCTCATCTCTTCTTTTGAGAAATCCCCTATTTCCTTTTTTAATTTTGTTTTCTACTTTTTCTTCTTTCTCTGTCCTTGCTTCGTTGCCAAATTCATTTCCACTGTTTGTCTTTGTCTAAATCACCAGTTTTTCGATTCTCATGTTCCTTGTCCTTTTCCAATATGTCCTGTTCTTCTTCGTTTTCCCCCGTGATTTTCATCGTGGTATTTTTTAAATCTATCACCACATGTTTTTCTGATAATTCATCTACTCCTACGATCATATCATGCAACATGTTTGGCATTATAACACATTGTAGTGCATAAAATTTTTTACCCAATTGTACCCTTATTCGTATTCCTTCATTTATAGTTGCCAAAGTCCGTTTATTTGCGCCCACTAAGTTTACCCTAAGAATTTTGTAAATTAAATTTGTTAAATTAACCTCTTCTATTAATTTTCTGTTGATCAATGTAATTTTCGAACCGGTGTCTTTCATTTTTTAAATTTGTTTCCCGTTGATAAAACCATCTACAACCTTTAAATTTACTCCACTTCTTTTATCATTATTTTCTGAAAATTTAATAAATTTCTTCGGGTGACAAAAAATTCCTATTTGTTTTTTGTATCTAGTGAGCGATTTCGTGAAAAGATGCTTGCTGTTTTTCTGTGCTCCTTCTTCCGTCGCTCTGTCTTTCGTCCTCATGTTCTTCTATTAGGGTGTTGTGGATCTCTCTTCTACTTTCTCTTGGTCTGTCGGAGCCGTATCGGTTTCCACGACTTTCCTGTTCATTTTGTCTACTATTATTTCTGTTTTCTTGATAATATCAGAGAACTACGAACGCAGAAAAGCGACACTCCTTTGATCTTGCGTGGGCAAGCCGCCAACGAGTGAAAATGACAGGAAAGCTACCAGCTTACTAATAGTCAGTGGGCATATCACACAATATAAATTCTTAAATACAATTGAGCATTTATGTTGACTTTCAATAAATATGAAATATTGCACTGAAAAAATAATTACATGCAGGGCCGGCTTTTGTTGACATTCTAAATGGTGTAATTATTTTTGATTTACAAAAGGTTGCAAATACATCGCACAACGCAAAGTAATGGTGAACATCGTATTGATGGAACCATAGATGAAAATACTTTTTTGTTTATTCTGATGTCGGCATTGATAATACAATAATACACCCATTCTTTTTGATGAATTATCTTTCGTAATATAATCAAAAAATAACAAAGCCATTGTAACTGCCATGGAAATTTCACAAACTCTAAAAATTCCAATTCTCTTTGGGTGAGACTGAGAAACAAGAAACTTTATATTGATATCGATTGTTAATGTCTTGGAAACCTATTTAAATTACATTTTTCCTTTAAAGTCGAATATTGGAGTAAACGATATTCGACTAAAACGAATAATAAATCAAGAAGTAACTATTGTACGAGTATATTTCTATAAATATAAAAATGTAATAACCTAAAAAATAATCAAAAAAGTATTACGAATTATTACAAGAGAGCATTAGGAAGATAAAATGAATTAATATTATTGTCATTACACATGATTCGGATATACATAGTAAATCCAGACTTTCAGTTTTAACTAATACTTCGATACAATTTATTTTGTTTACAATAGATTCAGAGTTAATATATACGATTTTTAGTTGATTGGTATTGCCTTTAAAATTATTTGTAGTATCTAGTTTGCCTAAGCCGGATTTGTAACAATTATTTCTAGTTTTGTTGTTAACTGCGGTTGGTACAATTCTTATACTTGAAGTCAAAACGACGAACCATTGAACCTTCAGGCCAGATACTGGGATTGAGAACTTAATTTTTATAATTCAATGAATATGAAACTTTAAAGCTTGCTTGGTACTCCGTAACCTTTAACTTCTTGAAGTAGAAATGTATATTTGGAGCATTTACCTTCAAATTATTGGTCAAATCTTCCGTTGTCTGTTGTGGAATTATATTATGGTGTAAATAAATAATGATTGATTGGAGTAAGATTTATGTCTGTTTACTCTTAATATTGGCTATGAGCATATGTGCTTGGTTGTAAATATAGTAATTGTCATCCAGTTCTAGTCTGTTAAAATGTAACTAACTTTCGCAATAAAATAATTACTGAAATACTAGATAGTTGTGTCTGAGATTAGCGAATCGACTATACATATACTAGATACATTCAGTATCATTGTATATCCGAGATGGACGCCACTACACAATAGCGGATTACTTATTTTTTCACAACTACTTCAATATGGATATCAAATGAAAGGCTTGACTAGTAGAAAAGAGTATTTATTCCCTAAATATGTTGTATACTCCGATACATATATTTGATCTTTGTTATTTATATTTAATGAATTAAACATTGACAGACAACTTTTGTATATAGCAAAAAGTAGATGAGTATTTAGTTTTTTCATAATTTAATGTTAGTTTGTTTGGTGAAAAAGACAGCAAATATTTGAAGTTTTGTTAATGTAAGTTTGTTTATTTGCAATCATGTTTTTATTTTGAAATCTTGTTCTGTTGTAATTTTAAGATTTCCCAATTGTGTTTATCGTATTATATTGAAATTAAGGTACTGCGTCATGAACCAATGTTTTTCTTTTATTTTTTTTGACAATAAGATTATCTTCAAAATGTAGTTCACAAATCCTATAACTATTATAAAGTATATCCATTTTTAACAATAAATCTTCTCGTCTGCAAGCTTCTATCCCCATTTTGGTACTACAAATTTTTAACAGAACAAATTTTAAACAAAGAACTTTTTGTATTTATAAATAATACTTCATTACTTACAACTATAAGAGTATTAGTATATTCTAAGTGTATTGTAAGTAATGAAGTATTTAACTTTTGTCAATATCTCATCTTAATAAATTTACAGTTTTCTCCTGATTAAGTCACAAAATTTTCACTAAATATTGAGATATACAACAAAATAATAAAGTTTTAATATTTTTTATTTGTAATTCCCATTTAAATATTTTTATTCCCTAAATATGTTGTGTACTCCGATCCATATATTTGATCTTTGTTATTTATATTTAACGAATTAAATATTGACAGACAACTTTTGTATATAGCAAAAAGTAGATGAGCATTTAGTTTTTTCATAATTAAATGTAAGTTTGTTTGGTGAAAAAGACAGCAAATATTTGAAGTTATGTTAATGTAAGTTTCTTTATTTGCAATCATGTTTCTATTTTAAAGTCTTGTTCTGTTGTAATTTTAAGATTTTCCCAATTATCGGTCTAATTATGTTTCCAACCATTTTTAGTTTGAGCATATTAGGAATTTCTTTGTTTCGTTTAAATCAAATATTCTCGTGTATGAAACCCTCTATATATTTTTATTTCCTAAAAATACTATATTCGTATTGTTGTCTGCGAGCGCTTTCACACCAGTAGGCCAACATCTTTTGATTTTTTGACTTGAGCCTTCGGAGACAATAAATTTAATGTGTGTTCGTAGTTCTCTGGTTTTTATTTTGAACTATCCCTTGGCAGACTAAAATTTATTTTTTTATTGCTCCACTTAACGAGAGCTCAGACAGACACGTCGGCGTCGGCTTACTGATCGAAAGTCAAATTAATACTATTATGTAATAACTAATAATAATTACAAAGTAATAGTAATTAGCTGTTATTATTCTTAGGAAATCTAAATAAACTTATTCCTTTTCCTGTCACAGTTGAACATCCGCGAAACACACAACAATAACCAGAAGACATTTTAAATACTTATAAATTAAACTTTTAACTATAAACTATAACTATAAACTTATATATTTAACTTACATATTTTAACTATAACTATAAACTATAACTATTAACTTTTAACTACTAAGTAAATTGATAAATGATCAAATGCACTTGTATAGTCAAGAATTTACCACAAGTGCCTACGGACTATCGTAAGCAACCAGAGTTGAAGAAAACGCACGTGTTTTTGACAGTAAAGCGACCAATTTCGGGCATGCGTATACAGAAAAGATACACGGATTTCGGGGCTCGTGTCGCTTCTCTGTGTATCTTTAAGATAGTTCCTTACCGTTTCTTTTGCTGTTTCGAAGTTACCGATGTATTTACCTTCTTTTTTAAATTATTTATGAATACTACTGGGTGTAACATTTTTACGTCCCCACCAAACTGTTATTTTATATTATCGGAACTTTGGATTCGTAGATTCCTTCTATTATCATAC